CTGTGGCCTCAACTAGGAGCAACCATTCCATAGGAGTGTGATACCACGGACTTGGCCGGGATTCAGGGTCTCCTGAAACCCTGAAGCCCACATGAGCTGCTTCCCCAGACCATCGCCACTGTGCAAGAATTTTTTGACCTAACCCAAGGGTGTGACGTGTATCCCTGCTAAATAAACATCACGGCTTTGGATGGGAACCAACAGCCAAGCCGGCGAGTGCTGCCCACTGATGCAGCCTCCCTCCCAGCTGGCCGCCGGCCACAGCTACGCCACCTTCTCCATCTTCATCACAGCGCCAGCGAAACCTCTGAACGGGAGAGAGCCAAAGGGTGACCAGAGTGAACCTGGTTTAATCTGGGCTGAGAAGACAGCATTTTTGGCAGGGGAGAGAATGAATGCTCACTTCGGGGGCCTTGAAATCTCCCCCTGTCCCCACCCCACCATGTACGGTTTCCTAGTACACCGACATAGACTATCAGCCCAGAGACATGTGTGAGTCTGGGACTGGAACCTAAACCATGCCAGGCCACAGGACACCTCAGCTTCTAGCAATCAGGGACCTCAAGTTACACTTGCAAAGGGCACTGCTGTGCTTTCTCCTCCCTCTCCCAGAACTTTCTGTGCCCATCTCTGCCCACAGCCCAGTCCCGGTAGGTTCCCTGCCGCTGGGGACAGCCCCAAGTCTGCCCCATCTCTGCCTCCCAGCTCTGAGCTCCACGTCTGTGCCGTCCAGAACAGCAGCTACCAGTGCTGTGGGCACTGGAAATGCGGTTCATCTGAACTAAGGTTCGAGGTCAGTGTCAAATACATGGTGGATATGGAAGACTGAGTGTGAAAAAAAGAATGTAAAGCACTTCATGTATATTCTTTATATTGGTGACATGTTGAATAACAGTTTACATACACTGAGTTAAACAAAATATACCACTAGAACTAATTTCACCTGTGTTTTTTTTACTCTCTCTAATGTTGCCACTGGAAAATGTACAATGACTCCTGCAGCTCTCACGTTGCTTCTTTAACCCACTGAGCCCCCCAGGCGCCCCTCATGTTGCTTCTTTTAGACAACATGACTCCAGAGGTAGGAGCCATGCCCACCCCTGGCTTCAAGGAGGCGCCACCCCAGAGACTCCCTTGATGGGAAGGTGTCCTCTGGGCTTCAGGCTTAGAAGGTGGGTGGTGTCTCTCACCATGAGTGATCACACAACACCTTGGAGGGAGGGGCCCCATCCGGCAAGGCTCTCTGAGCTTCAGATGGCAAAGGGCAGGTTCAAAGAGATTCAGAGCCCAGAGTCTTATCACCACACGACATCTAGCCTCCCCCACAAGGCAGGAAGGTCATACCCCCCAGCCTTGGCCCCCCAACCTGTCCACCTCCCATCCACCTCACTCCCCTCCCACCCCCCCTGGTCTGAAACATTGTCCTGGCCCCTCCACCCCTCCCAACACAGCATAGCTGCTCCCGGGTGCCCGAAGAGGAAGTCCAGACACCTTGATCCCATGACTAAGGCCCCCCATAAACACCGGGACACCAACCCATTGTCTCTCCTACCTCTCCTGGGCGGGGAAGCACACCGCTATGCCACTTCAGTGATGGGCATCTATGTCCCCACTCTCTCACGGTCTCCCACCTTTCACTAACGGGCTAAGTGAATGAACACTGGGACAGTCGCAACGGTCAGTCCTCTGGAACCTTTGGCATCACCTTGAGCTCACCGAGCACCTGCATGAGCTTAGGGCTCTTCTAGCCGCCACTCAGCCCCTCACCCCCATTCCCAGGCAGGCTCCCCACCCCCCATGTGCGCACATGCGCACTCACACCCCAGACACTAATGGCTCCCCTCTCTCCCAGGCCCGAAGCTTTGGCCCCAGGAAGGGGCCCCACCCACCAGCTGCGCTGCTTCAGGGGAGCAGAGGGACCTGGGCTGCTCTGCTGGTTGTACCCACTGCCCTTTGGCAAGCGGCCTCTACTCTGCCGTCGGGTTTCCTTCCCTCCTCGACTTTTGCTGAGCTAAAATCCGAACCCAAGCGTCAGGGAAGTAGACCGCGACTGCATCTCGCTCCCACTGGCGCCGGCACCAAAGTCTCCCTCCAAGATTAACTCACCCCCTCCCCGCTGATTCCACCCCGGCCCCCCGGGGGGCGCCCCGCCCCCTCCCCTTGGCAGGAATCTCTTACACTCGGGCTGTGAAGTTCGGGGTATTTTTAGGCCGGCGATAAATAATTCATAGGGAACGTGGCATCAGGCTCCCCCCGCGGGAGGACGGGGCGCGAGCGGCGAGAGCCACCGTCACCCGCGGCTCAAGGACACTCGCGATGCGGCGGCGGCGGCGGCGGCGGCGGCGGCGGCGGCGGCGGCGACTCCGGGCTCCCGGACCCGTGCCACGCCTCCTGGCGGCCAAACTGGGCACCACGTTCGCGCCCCCAGCCGCGCTGCTACACCCCACCCCCTCCCCGCAGGTGTCGCCGGATCCTAGGCCCCCCAAACCGCTCATCGCAAGCCGCGCAGGTTGTGGGGGGTGGAGGACGAGCTCGCCAGGCAGGCCGGTCTGTGAGCGGGGTACCAGACCTTGGGGCGAACCCAGAAATCTGGTTTCCAGTCTGTCGAGTCTCCTTCACGCTCCTATCCAAATTCTTAGTTCGGCGTTTAGGAGCAGACTTGAAACGGACTGGCGCAACCAGAAACTAGACGAGCAGCAAGACAGAGCACATGAGCCTTCCTCGATTTCCTCGATTTCCCTGAGGCCCCGGGGTCGGAGACTGAGCCAGGGCGGTACCACCACGGGAGGGCTGGGGGACTGAGCCAGAAGTCCCGCATGGTGAGCAGGGCTGGGTGAGAGTGTCAAAAACCCGGCTGGGATCCCCGCTTCGCTCACCCAGAAGGACCTTCCTATGCGTCCTGGGGCGCACCCTTGGGGATTTTCTGGCTGCCTGGTGCCTTGCCTTCATAAGTCCCTGGCCCTGCACTCCTAGGCCTGGGCACGAAACGCCTTCCGCAGCAGGAGGCTCCGGCTTTCCCTTCCCCGCCGTCGGGGATCCTTGTCGAAGCCCCGGGAGACCTGAGCACCCGCTGGCGCGACAGCCAGGGCCCAGCGCTCCGGGGCTCACGGTTCCCCCATGGTCCTCTTCGTCCAGCCTTCCCTTGGCGCCCTCGGAGCCCGGGTCCGCCGGGCGCTGGGTCGGTACTCGGCCAGACCCCACCACCCCGTGAAGCCCGCGCTGATTCCCTGAGGTGAGAGGACGGAGCGTTCTGCCGCGCAGAGGAGCGGAAGAAGGAGAGCTGGAGGTGGGGGTGGCGGAGAAAGATCGAGGGGACTCGCCGCGCGAGAAGGGGCGGGGGTGTCAAGGGAGAGGCGCGCGGCAGGTGCCCGGCAGACCTCCGGGAAGCGGGGGGCCGCGCTCCCGGAGCCACCGACAGCCCCCTTTCGTCCTCTCTGCCCAGGCCCTCTCCAGCCCCCTTCGCGCAGTGGCGGCCCCCGGCCCCCGGCCCCGACCCAGCTCCCCGCCCCGGCAGCTTCCAGCAGCAACAGTTGCGGGGACCCGCGGCCCAGACTCCCGCGTCCCCGCACCGCCCCCTCCCCCGCGGCGCCGCGACGCCCAGAGAAGGAGGAGCTGGAGGGCTCGGCGACCCGAGAGACGAACGTCTTGGGCGCCTCACCCCGCGTCCTTCCCTCGCGTACGCCGCGCGCCTGTCACCTCGGCCTCCCCGCCTCACCTCCCCTCCGCCCGCCCGGGTCCGAACCGCAGGCCCGGTCCCCGAGGGTCCCGGGTCCCCCGCCGCCCCCTCCTCAGGCTCCGCGCGCCAGCCAGACTGTCCCCGGGAGTCCCGCGTCTGTCTCCGCCGTCCTTGCCCGCGCGGCGCCCGAGCCCAGCCCCAAGTTGGCGGCGAAGTTGGCGTCCCCCGCTCGCCACCCGCCACTCACCGGGGAGAAGGGGCGCTGCGCCCGCGCCGAGAGCTCGCGCCGGCCGCCTCCCGCGCGCTGCATGTCCCGGCGCCTCGGCCCCCGCGCGCTGGCGCGCTCCGTCCCAGCTCGGCGGGCACCGGAGCCCGGGCAACGCGGGGCCCGGGTCCGTGGCGCGGCCTGGCGGGCTGGCCCGGCCCCGTCCCCCGCGCCCTCCCGGGGTCCGCTCGGCGCCCGGCTCCGTCCCGGGCTGGGTTGCGTGGCGCGCCTCCGGCTCCCAGGGCTCGCCTGCCGGCTGTGGCGGAGCGCTCGCCGCCGCCCGCCGCCTCCGCCCCGCCCCGGCCCGCCCCGCCGCCCGCTCCCCGCCGCTCCAGGCCCCTCCTCGCCCGCCCGCGCGCGGGACGCCCGGGTCCCATCTCCCTTCTCCAGGACTGTGTCTCCAGACCCGACACTCGGGGCCAAGTGCTGCCTCGGGGAAACCCGCAGCCTGGCTGGAGCCCTGGGTTCGAGCCCACAGCTCACGAGCTGTGTGACCTTGGGCCAGTTAATTCCGAGGATTCCCTCAGTCTCTACAGTGACACCAGCCTCTTGGGACTGGCCTAAAAGACCGTGTACTCGCCTTGTGAACTGCAAAGCACTAGAGACCGAGGTACTGTTTTTTAAAGGCTTGTCCATGTGGCTGGAAACCAAGAGGTGGGAAGGCCCCGGGAGTGGACAGAGGTAGGGAGGACCCATACCAGAGGCCTGGGGTCCGGGGCAAGCCGCTGCCCAGACTCCTCACTCCTGCTTTTCTCTTCTTGTTTTGCTTCTACTGAGGGCTAACCAGAAAGGGAACTGGGCCGAAAAGCCAGCAGAGCAGGCGGGCAGGGGTCCCAGGATGCCTGCCGTGGGAACAGAAGGCAGGCAGGCAGGCCACAGCAGCAGAGCCAAGCCCAGAGAGGGACAGTGGGTTCCAGGCCTGGCTGCCAACCTCTCTGAAGCCCCCAAGAGGCCCCCGAGCAGGGAGCTCACTCTGCAGCGCCACCTGGTGACAGGAGGGGAGCTGTGGCTGGAAGGTGACCCCGAGCCCCAAAAGAAGCCGCACATCAACCACTGGCCTTCCATTATAGCTGTTTTATTTCCAGCCTGTTCCTGACCTGGAGACCCTCTGCAGTCTGAGATGAGAGAGGTGGGAGGGAGGAGAGTCAGCCCGCACCTCCACCCATCCCTAAGGTTATCTCTGCCAAGGGCAACCTTCCACCAGGAGCAAGTGCTCAGAGGCCCCTGGAAAAGAGGCAGCCAAGACCAGGTGCCGGCGTGGGCAGGCGACACAGCCATGGCACAGAGTCCCGCTGACTGACCCAGGCCCTCGCCCGGGCACAGCGTGCCTTCTCTCCCCGCCAGCCAGGCTGGGATATAGGCTCAGCGCCCCAGCAGCCGCAGCATCTCCTGAGGATCCAGCAGCTTCTCCCTGGGCTTCCCAGCACCCTTGCCCCGGGACACCTCCTCGGCATCCAGCTTCTCCCAGTCCGAGAAAGAGACAGGCTGGACCCCTGTGGCACAGGAAAGATGAGTCACTGCCTCCCCCTCCTCCTCTTCCACCCCCAGCCCGGAGCACCCCCTCCCAACAGTGCAAAGGACTAGGTCTGCCCACCACGCCTCCCAAGAGCTCACACAGGGCCCAGACCTCGGCCGCTGAGCAGGGCCTCGATGGCCGCGTAGCCAGGCCGGGGGCCAGATGGCAGCAGCCCGGCTTTCAGGTCCTGCAGCAGCATCTGGCCGGTGAGGAAGCTGTCAGTCATGGTAGTGGCGATGACGCCCGTGGGCCCCCGCTTCACCCAGCCGCTGCAGTAGAGTCCTGGCAAGGGACAGCGCAGGGTCAGGAAAGGCCAGCCCGAGTCCCCCAGTTCACACACACGTGCATATGCGCGCATGCACACACATCCGCACACCAAGTCCTCCCGGCAGCCCTGAGTCACCTGGGCCCACTGTGGCTCCCGGCCCAGCGTCCCAGACTCCTCTCAACCTGTTTCTATCACAACACCCCTTCCCCTTCAGTCTTGCTGTCGCCTAGGGGCTCCCCGAGGGTGGGAGATGGGTCCTGCCCCTCCTGCAGTGTCAGCAGGCCCTTCTAACCACGAGCGGGATGAACGAGTAGGCAGGCATGTGGGTGTCTAATCAGACTGGAGCGTCCCTGAGGACGGGGGCTGCTGTGTGATCTCCAACCGCAGCCCCGCACACTCAGAGCAGGCCCGTCAACTGCACGACGAGAAGAGCCGGCACACGCGGGCCTGTCGGCCAGTCTGGGGACCGTCCCTCCCAGCTCCAGCCACGGGGAGTGTGGCTGGGCCCCAGGACGGGGTGCGGGCACAGGGCCTGGCTCCAAGCAGTTTCCTAGTGTGTGTCACTGGCCGAATGAACAAACGGGAAACGCCAGCCCCTCCATCCCCCATGACAGTTTGCTGCCCAGCCTCCCTGCACCCTCTCACCTGGCACACCTAGAACCCGGCCTTCCATATTGGGGATGACTCCAAGTTTGGGGTCAAAGGGCACGTTGGGGTCGATGGGACGGCTCTTGTACCCAACACTGCTCAGTACCAGCCCACAAGGGAGGTCCTCCGTGTCTCCCGTGGGCGCTGCACGGGCAGCCTCACCAACACCCTGTTGAGGAGAGTGTAGGCCACACCAGGCTGGGGTGGGGAGACTTGAGAAGGGGGTGTCACTGGGGAACGCGAGACTCACCTCCAGTCTGGTGACCGCCAGGCGGATGCCAGCTACCCGTCGCCCGTCTGGTGAGGGCAGCACCTGCTGGGGGCTTCGGAAGAAGCGGAGGCCCCAGGTGCGGGTGGCCGATGCCTGGCGGGCAGCCTCCTCCGCCCCTGGCTTCTCCGTGGCTGTGCGAAGCAGAAGTTCTGTCAGCCGCTTCCTCTGGCGGGGGAGCTCTGTCAGCAGTGAGAACGGCTCAGGCAGGCCTGTCCCCGGATTACAGCCCTCTCCCCCAAAGCGCTCCCCCATGCCCTCTCTGACCTAGACCATCCCCTCCCCAGTGACCTAGGGGGCCAGGTCAGGGCCCCTCACCCTTGATTCTGTCCTGAAGGCCCAAGAAATCAGCAGGATCCAACATGGGCCCGGTTCCCGGTAACTGAATCATCTCCCGAAGCTCCTTGGGGGTGGGAGGTGGGGAGGAGTTCAGGGCCAGAGCACGGTCCCCTCCTGAGCCCACCCCAGAGCCCAGCCCGGATGGGAGACACCACCACCACCTACCACAGAAGGCACCAGGCCCCGGGGCCCTGCCTGGCTCCCCCCTCTTCTGCCCCAGGCAGCAGCCGTTCCCGGGGGTCCTGCCACACCTCCCCAGGGCAAACCATCTATTTGGGACCCCGACCCCCCCTCTGGCCCCAGCACCTTAATGGTGAAGGCCACTTGCAGGGGTCCACGGCGGCCCACTATCCACACCGTCTTCACCCGACTCTGCCTCAGTACCCCCAGGGCAGCCTCTGTGATGTCCGTTTTCTGGCACAAAAGGAGGCCGTGAAGTCATCAGACGCTGACAAGGCAAGGGGCCTTTGCATTCTGCAGTGTTCCTACCCTCAGCGGGGAGGTCTGCGGCCTGGAACGGCACCACGGCGCCTCCTGGCGGCCAGATGGAGCACTGCCTCCAGTTCTGCAAAGGGCTCCAGCTAGGAACAAACCAGGCTCACGGCCCTCATTCAACAGGTGTTTCTTCACTGCTTAGCAAGAGCCAGGCCCTAGGCAAGGGGCGTGGGGGTGGGGTGGGGTGTCAACGGTAAGCGGAAGAGACACGGTGCCGCCTTCACAGAGCTTCTGATCTGGTGGAGACGGTGATACTTGTCAACCATTCATTAACAAGTATAAAATTGTAGTGGTGACACCACGCTTTGGAAGAGAAGTAAACAAGTCTATGAGAAGAAGGTATTACAGGGAAATGGATCTCTTCAGGTGGTACTGGAAGGCTTCCTGGAGGAAGCAACAACTGAGCCAAGAACTGAAAGATGAACACAGGTTAACAGGCGGAAGGAGTGATGTGTACACAGTAAATTGTTGTTTTTAAAGGCCCATCCATGTAGCTGGAGTGCACAAAGCAAAGCGGAAATGGTATGAAGCAAGCTCCAGGGCAGCCCTTCAGGAGGCCTCTGCCTGGCACCAGAGGGAAACGGAGGCACTGAGCTCAGCTTGGAGGGTGAGGCGTGGACCCTGCAGGCAGCGGCACCCTCTCCCCGATGTGACCCCAGCTCCACCCCCCAGCCTCTGACCTGCCCACTTACCTCCAGGTGCCCAGGGGAGGTCAGCAGGATCCGGGCCACATCCAGAGCCACATTCCCTTGCCCCAGGATCACGGCTGTGTCACAGCTCAGGTCTGGCGCCAGCTGGTAGGAAGACGGCTGGGTAGGGCTCCCCTAGCCTTGGCCCCAGTCAGGCTGATCTCGGCTCCTGCCCAGTCACCAGCTGAGCCCCCAGGCTTCCCCACACCCAGAAAGACCACCCCACCTGAGCCGCAGCTGATGCCCCTGCTGTCCTACCCAGCCCCACCTTCTCCCAGAAGCCTTCCCTGGTTGACCCTCCCCTCAGGCCGCCAGGTGTCTCACACCTCATCTCCTTAGAAGCCTCCCAGTGTGGGACAGTGGCTCCCTTGTCCCCCCGCTGTGGCACTCAAGAGCTGACCCTGGCCCTGGCCGAGGAGTGGGGAGGAAGAAGTAGCGGGAGTGCTCCCGGAACTCACCTCCCGGTTCTCAGGAAGCCCATTGTACCAGCCCACAAAGGCCCGGGCCGAGAATACTCCAGGCAGCTCCTCCCCAGGAATTTCCAGGGCCTGATGGTCCTCTGCCCCATAGCTCTGAAGAAAGACCCCAAGGGCTTGGCACCAGCTAAGGGCCTGGCAGACCCCGGCAGGCCCCCTTCCAGCTCCTCCCGAGATGCCATCCTGGGCCCCAGCTGTGGTTTGGGCCTCTCCCCCACCACCTTCCACCCGCCGTTGGCACTCACCAGCACCACAGCATGGTAGGCCGCCTGCAGCTCCGACACGGCCACGTCCCTGCCGACCACCACGTTGCCACGGAAGGCACAGCGGTCCGAGCGAGCCGTCTGGGTGAAAGTGTTGATGACATTCTGCCGGGCCCCGAAGGGAAGGGGTTAGGGGTGGGGCACTCCGGGGATCTCGCCTGTGCCACACCCACCTCCCAGAGTCCCTAGGAAGGGAACCCGCACGGCATCCGCACAGAGGACCTGCGGTCACTCCATGCAGCCAGGAGGCTCCCTTCCCTCCTTACCTTGACCGAAGTCCCCAAACCTCTCCTCTGGCCCAGAGAGACCCACCTTCACCTCAGGATGGTCGGGCGCCACGCCAAAGCGCACCAGACCGAAGGGCACCAGCTGCTTCTCGTAAATGTCCACGTGGGCCCGGGGGTGGTGCTGGGAAGAGGGCGGCAGCTGGTGGGGCTGAGGGAGAAGCCGGGCCCTACGGGTCCCCCCTTCCCCAACAGGGCAGGAGAACCTGGCTCGGAGCGCTGAGGACACAAGGAGAAAGAGAGGCCCCCGACTCCCCATCCGCCTGGAGAGCCCGTCTGAGGAGTGGGGCGGCAGAGAAGCCCGGGTAGCTGAGGCCTGACCTTGGGACTGCCGGCCCATCGAGTCGGCAAGGACTCTGGCTCACTGGGGAGGAGGCAGCTCGTCTGCCCCTGGAGTCGTTTGAGGGGAACGTCTTCATCTGCTTGGGTCAGGCCTGACACACAGCCCTACCCTAGAATCCTCTGATAGTTCTAGAAATGCCCAGCCAGTCTAATGAGCTGACAACTGCCCATTTCACGTCGGGTGGGGCGCACAGCCAGGGCTCCTGGGGGGTCTGAGGGATATGGAAATGGCTCACTCTCCACCTTAGGAAAAACGAGCTCACTTACACAGTGGTCCCACCTCGCCCACCCTCTGGAGCACCTAGAGGGGTCACAGGGGAGGCAAGAGGTTGAGGTTGGGCAGAGAGGTCGGGTCTGGCTCTGCCACCAACCAGCCACATGGCCCTGGCCTGTCCCAAGACCTGCCTGGGTCTGAGACTCTTGGCTCTGCACACTGGGACAGATAAGAGCCCCTGCTCTGGGTCGTCGGGAAGCATCCAGAAGGTCAGGACGGTGAGAGACGCAGATTTGGAGTCAAGATTTGGGGTTTCTATGGATAGGACACTACTCTGCCTTCACCCCATCCTGGGCTCTTGCGGTGATACCCCAGCTCTGTGGGACTCAGGCCAAATGCGCTCCGGCCCCCCAGTCGCCCCTACCATCACCCCTACAAAGGCTCGCACTCACCTTCATTTAAATCCCCCTTGTGCTCCACTCCGCTGCCTGCACCTAAGTCCAGGCCCCCCATCACCCATCCGCCCTTCTGGGCCTCCTCCGCTCCCCACCCCTTCCAGCCCCAAGTAGCGCCCGAACCCCTCCTTCACAGCCACTGGCGCTGCACCCACACATCAGGGACCAACCCAGGGAATGTTTCTGAACTTGTCGTTCAAGAGCAAGGCCTGAAGCACTTAGCCCAGCACCCGACCCACCGTGCATGCTCAGTCCAAAAGCTGCCCTTTTCTACTACTGTTGGACGTCACTGCCTTGCCCGTGAACATTCCCACCAAGGGAGAAAGTTCAAACTGCTCAGCCTGGCAGCCCCTGCCACACACAGCCCGGCTTTTCGCCTTGATCTTCCATCGTTTCCTGCTATGGCTCCGGGTCACGCTGCCCTGTCCAAGGCCACATCCGCAATGCTAGGCCTGCTGGCGTGTTTACTGGACTCTCTCCCGGCTGACCTTGTCTTCAGGGAACCCGTTCTTTCCTAACTCAGCTCCCTCCTTCTCTGGCTGTTCTTCCTCGGGCTTCTTTTCTTCTGCCCCCCTCTAATGAAAACACTCTCTGAGGTTCTTTCAATGTGGGACCCCTCCCACCCCCCAACACACATTCCCTGGGGAAGCTCCGTCTACTCCCTCCTATGACCTCGGATGCCTGCAGACATGCCGATGTTTCACTCTCTCCCCTGCCCGGCTGCCCCCTCCAAACCTGTCAGCCCTGGACGACACTGCAGATTCCTCAAACGCACCCAGACACAAGTCAACTCCCCCTGCCCCAAAACTCTTTCCTCCTGCTCCTGGGTTCCCTTCCCAAGCCATCCATCCGGGGCCGGAGCCAGAACCTGGGGTTCATCCCCAACTCCCCTCAACCCTGCCCAGTCAATCACCTATCTTCCCCTCCCTATCACCCCCCTCAGCAGCTCTCCGTTGCTCTCCTAGCCACCGGCCCTGCCTCCCCACCCCACCGTCTGCCCTATAAGCAGAGAGAGCTCCGTGTCTAAAATGGGGTGCCTGCCTAAAACCTTTCAGTGAAGCCAACTATACCCAGAGCAGTGGGCTTCAGGACCCCCTGAGTGTTCATTTAAAACTGTTAATTCCCAGGTTCCAGCCTTGGAGTCAACAGTTTGATTAGGTCTGAGCACGTTGGTAACTCTCCCGAGAGGACTCTGCTGGAAGGAGGGGAGTGGACAGCACCATGAGACGCTGCCTGCCTCTAAGCCTGGTTAATGGCTTCCAAGGAACCCTGGATCTGGAGCCACCTGCCTCCTCCATCGGCCCACCTGCCTCCTCCACCAGCCCTCCACCCTTACCCACAAGCCTTTCTTCCCCACGTCACGTGTCCTGAAAGGAGCCCTCTCCTCTCTCTGTGCCTTTGTCCATGCAGCTCTCTGTGTCTGGGACTCTCTTGTCTGTCACCCACCCCTCTTCCACCTGGCGGCTTCTGTCCTTCAGAAAGCAATGTGGACATCTCTTCCTCCAGGCTGAGCTGGACTCAGCTCCCTGTACACCACGCCCTACACCTTGCACTATCAGAGCCTCAGAACCTGGATAAACCCTCTTCCCCTCCACACCACAAGCCCACCCCCCATGAGGCTGTCATTATGTCCTCGGGCATAGGGGCTATGTCTGTCCTGCTCACACCCATGTTCCTAGAGTTGAGCCTATGCCTGGAACATGTCAGTGTCGAATAGCTCACTGCTGAATGGAGCGCCTCACCTGGTACTCAAGAGCAGCTCTGATGCATAAATACAGAGAACAGAGTGGTGGGTGCCAGCAAGGAGGGGATGGGGGGTTGGGCAAAATGGGAGAGGGGGAGGAGGAGGTACAGGCTTCCAGTTATGGAACACGTAAGTCACAGGGATGAAAGAGACAGCATAGGGCGCCTGGGTGGCTCAGTGGGTTAAGCCGCTGCCTTCGGCTCGGGTCGTGGTCTCAGGGTCCTGGGATCGAGTCCCACATCGGGCTCTGCTCAGCGGGGAGCCTGCTTCCCTCTCTCTCTCTCTGCCTGCCTCTTTGTCTGCTTGTGATCTCTCTCTGAAAAAAAAAAAAAAAAAAATCAAAAAAAAAAAAAAAAAAAAAAAAAAAAGAAAGGGACAGCATAGGGAATATAGTCGATGGTATGGTAAAAGTGGTGTATGGTGCCAGATGGGGCCACACTAGTGGGGACCCTAAGTGCCTCACATATAGAATCCTGGAGAATCGCTACATTGAACACCTGAAACTGATGTAACATTGTGTATCAACCATAGATCAATGAAAATACATTTTAAAGGTATTACTTATTTAAGTCTCTCCATACCCAATGTGGGGCTTGACCTCATGACCCCAAGATCAAAAGTCACACGGTCTTCTGAGCCAGCCAGGTGCCCCAGAATAAAATTTTTTAATTTAAAAAAGAAAGAAGGGGGCGCCTGGGTGGCTCAGTGGTTAAAGCCTCTGCCTTCGGCTCAGGTCACGATCTCGGGGTCCTGGGGTCGAGTCCCGCATCGGGCTCTCTGCTCAGCAGGGAGCCTGCCTCCTCCTCTCTCTCTGCCTGCCTCTCTGCCTGCTCGTGATCTGTCTGTCAAATAAATAAAAAAAAAAAAAAAAAAAAAAAATTAAAAAAAAATAAAAAAGAAAGAAGGAAAGAGCAGCTCTGCCATCAAACTGCCTGCACTCAGATCTTAGCGTCTTCCCTGTCCAGATGGGGACCCTGGGCAATGTCACTCAGCCTCAGTGTCCTTACCTGCAAAGTCAGAGTCATGACACCTGCTTCAAAGGTTGGCATGGGGAGATGAGATGCCATACAATGCCCGGCTCAGCTAAATGCCACTGTCCCATGTGTGTTGTGCACATTTCTATCTTGGGAGCACAGCCAGTAGCTTGGAATTCCCGGTGGGCAAGGACGGCTCGTGACGGGCTCCTGTATCCAACCCCCAGTGCGTGCAAGGAAAGTGCGTGCGCGTGTGTGCCAGCGAGTGCAGGCCAAGGCCATCCCACCCACCGGGGGCACTGAGAAGCCTGCGTGGGAGGCCCACTCTCCCCACTCCCCAAATTTCAGGCTCAGCTAGCAAGTGTACCTTATACAAAGCCCTCCAGGATCTCCCCAGACCCCATGGGATCCCTGGTCTCCATCCCAGGGCCCAGGGCTGTTCTACCACAAATCTTTTTGTCCATGTATGACCTCCTACATGTGGCAGGTCCTCTCCAGAGTCCACAGCCTCCTTCAATGAAGCTCAAATGCACCTGCTCCAGGAAACCCTTTCTTGACCCACTGTGCCTAACCCAGCTCATGCAGGTCACATCTCAGGAATGAGCTCTATCGCCTGTGTTCCTGGGAAGCCATGTTTAAGTCGCTTTTCAGCAGAGTGTCCAACTCATGCTGGGCTCCCCAAGACCCTCCCAGCTTTAACACTGGCTCCATGTCCTAGGCAAATTAGGACGATTGGTTACTCCCCCTTTTCAGTTTCTGCATATATGTATGTACAATTAATATATTCATTCTTCCTCCTATCTCTCCAAAGACACTCCAAGTCCCCCTAAAGCAAGCACACTGTGTCAAGTCTTAGTCAGCCTAGGTCTCCCTCTTCCCCTCCCACCCACCCATGGTTCCCCCTCCCTCCTCCCTCCCACCCAGATCTGCCCAAGTCTCAAGGGTAACTGGCAGCCTTGGGGCCCTGCCCAGCAAGGCCAACACTGTAAGCCTTGAGGCTCCGGCCTTGGGGTGGGAGGAATGGTGGGTGGAGAGCAGGGTAAAAGAACGACATAGCGTGGGGAGGGCTATGGCACAACAAGGTGGCTACAGGGACAGGAAACCGTGAGAAGAGAGGACAGCCTCAAGACGCAGGATGTTGAGGACAGAGGAGAAAGAGAGAAGAAGGGAAGATGAGGGGCAGGACAAAGTCATCTGCAGGTCTGCATAAACTCCATGAAGGGCTTGGCCAAGGTGGCAGAGCAGGCCATCTCCCACTGACCACTTGTTCCATAGCTGAGGACCCAGAGTGGGGAGCCCCGGATGCAGGTGAAGAAGCATAGAGGGAATGTCCAGTCTAGATGTGCTGGGAGCCCCTTTCCCATCAGGGATCCAGGAGTCCTTTTAAAACTCGAAGAGGGTGGGGCTTGCCCTTAGGATTGGAGCAGCTGGTGAATCCTGGGAAAGAGAACCAGGAAAATGTGGCTTACCTTCAGCAGGTGTTGGGTGGTATAGAAGCCAGCTGGGCCGCTGCCCACCACACAGATCTGGGGGCCCTGCTCCTGCGTAGAGAACTGCAGCCGAAAGCCTGGTGGGGAGAGGGAAGGGATGGAGGCGAGATCAGCACTTCCCAAACCAACACCAGCCTCAGGCAGAAGCTGGAGCTTCCCAAGCTTCACCCCCATTTGCACCCTCCTCCTCTTTTTCCCCCAAAGCTTTGGCGTTTGCAAGATCCCTTACTTCATCTGAACCCCCAAAGACTGTCTTCATCCAGAGCCCGGGATTTCACCCATGAATTTCCTATACCCACTCAACAACCCCCATCACCCCTCAAGCTGCCCTGCACAGTCCTTCACTTTTCTTCCAGGGTTCCCACCCAGCTAGAATACCCCGTCCTTCCAACAGCCTCTAAACGATCCCAATTGTGGATCTCCCACAATGCCCGATTGTACCTCTTCCACCCATTCTCTCTCCCCACAGAAAGCTGCATTGCCCATGTGGACCCCTGTCTTTCCTATAGACCCCTGTTCTACCTCAGACTTCGCTCTCGGCTCCCAGACCTCCATATAACCCCCATTCACCGGGTCTCACACCTGTGCACCTCACGGTCTCTCCTTCTTACCTTTTTGTTGACACACATCTGACCGCACAGGCCTCCCCTGCCCCCGTACACCACGCCAATCTCGTCCGTAGGAGTGGCCCCTCCGGTTTCGCCCCTGGCCCCCTCTCGCCCTTCTCCAGCCCTGCCCCAGCTCCGCTCCGACCCCCACACTTGACCCTCGCCGGCCTCCCCGCGCTGCCATTTAGCCCTACAGGTAGGTTCCTGCTCCTACTCGGAGTGCTCCCGGCGGGAGGCGGCCGGGTCCGACGCCACGCCGACCAGTGCCACCAGCGCCAGCAACGCGGAGCCATGGCTGGGAAGAAAACCAGCCAGAGGACGGGATCCCGGAGACGCCCGGTGCTCAGTGCTGGGGCATCGGTGCCCCGCGCGCCTCCGGCCCCGCCCCCGACCTGCCCCCGCCCCCAAGTTCCGCCCTCCCACGCTCTGGGAACGCACAGCGTGGAGGCCACGCCCCCATCCCCGAAAGAATCCCGCCCTCAAAGGAAAAGCCCGCCTGCGGATCCACCCACTATCGCTTAGGGCCCGCCCCCAGGACGTCCAAGGCTTAGGGACTTAAATTTCTCCCCAATCCAATCATCTGGAGGGCTAGCGTTGAACGAGAGCGAATCTCCATCGCTGTTTCAATGCCGTCTGATGGAGAGAGCCAATAAACAAGGAGCTTACTTTACTTAGCCTCTCCCCCTCGAAGGCGCTCGTCGCTCTCTGATGACGCAAGCCCGGTCTCTTTTGATAGCGTAACCACCCCGCCAGGGCCTGGTTTCTTCCCAGCCAATCACGAGTCGAGTTCCAAAGGCGCCTCCCTGCCCTTAGCATAAAAACCACAGAGCCCGGAAGTCGGGGAAAAAAGGGCTCCTTTGGGGCCTTGGCAGCACGTGGCCCGAGTGCGGGTGTGACCCCGGCCACATGCTGTCCAGTTCGGACCTGGCAGCTTTTCTTTTTTTTCTTTTTTTCTTTTTTCCAGGCAGCATTTTAAGCCTTCGAGTTCAAGTTCCGCCTCACTCCGCTTCACGTAGGTGAAGAAATGGGAGGAGGAGCGGCTTGCCCTCGGTGCTAAGGACCGAGCTGATCCACCGCTCCTGTCCCAACTGGACTGGTACTAAGGGTGAGGCCGCTAAGGCACGGGTTTCGGGTGCAGAATTTCAGGGGGCCCCCCCCAAACCCCAGTAATTACGGTAAAAGATATTTTAATGCAAAATATATTGAGAGATCAAAATTAAAGACCACAGACTTCCCGGATGTGCAGGGTGCCAGATGCAGAACCGGATTCCAGGACGCTGGGATCATGACCTGAGCCGAAGGCAGATGCATACCCGACTGAGCCACACAGGCGTCCCTGCCTTATCATTTTTTGAAAGATTTTTATTGATTTGACAAAGAGAGAGAAAGCGAGAGAGGGAACACAAGCAGGGGGAGTGGGAGAGGGAGAAGCAGGCTCCCCGCTGAGCAGCGAGCCCATCGCGGGGCCCATTCCAGGACCCTGAGATCATGACCTGAGCCAAAGGCAGACTCTCAACGACTGAGCCACCCAGGCACCCGCCTTATCATTTTTTTTTTTTTAAGATTTTTTATTTATTTATTTGACAGGCAGAGATCACAAGCAGGCAGAGAGGTAGTGGGGGGAAGCAGACTCCCCGCTGAGCAGAGAGCCTGATGCCGGGTTCTATCCCAGGACCCTGAGATCATGACCTAAGCTGAAGGCAGAGTTTAACCCACTGAGCCACCCAGGTGCCCTCATTTTTTAATTGTCTTTTATTGAAGTCTAACAAACAGAAAAGTGCACAAATCACAAACATATACTGACAAGGTGTAAACATATAAACCAGCATCTGGTTCAAGAAATCAAGAAATGCCTCTCCTTGTCACTTCCCGTCTCTCCTACTGAGAAGTAAATACTCTTCTGGTTTTTACTAAGTCTTGTATTTTGTGCCTGTCCCACTAGACCAGGAGAAAGCAAACTATGGCTTGCAGGCCAAATCCTGCCTACCACCTGTTTTCCTACTCATGCAAGCTAATGGTTTTTCCATTCTTAAATGGTTAAAAAATTGTGAAGAATACTATATTGTGGCATGTGAAAGTTACTTAAACTTCAAAAGAAGTTTTATGGGCACACAGTTATGCTCATTTCTTTCCATATTTTCTGTGGCTCAAATGTGCTTTGAGTAGTTGTGTTTCAGTAGTTGTGACTGAAGCCATATGGTCCACAAAGCCCAAAATACTATCGGGGGTGGGGGTGGTGCTGGGTGGCTCAGTCGGTTAAGCGTCCGACTCTTGGTTTCAGCTCAGGTCATGATCTCAGGGTCATGGGATCAAGCCCTGCATGGGGCTCCAAGCTGGGTGTGGAGCTTGCTTGGAATTCTCTCTCTCCCTCTCCCTCTGTCCCTCCCTCCCCCCTCTCAAAAAAAATCTTTGCTGTACGTTCTGAAAACGTTAGCTATCATCAACATCAATATTATCACCTCCCATATACCTCTGTAAATTAGACCTTAGGTCTCTGTAGAGTCCAGGGAGGGCTTCATTCTCTCCTGTCACCTCTGCCTTCCCCCTCAAGCCCCATGCATTCCCAGCCCACATCCTTAGTGCATTGTTCTCGGGCTCCTGTGGTGCGGTCAGGTCTGGTACTGGGGCTGCCCACTCCCCACTCAGGCCCGGATCAATAACAATGAGTCATCGGTATGGATTAGATGGTTTTGATCATTAGCCAGGACTGTGCCATGGGAGCTTTTCTGACATTGCATTTTTTCATGTGGAGAATTAGCAGTTTGATTAATCCCATACCCGGACCTGAGGACCATTTCTGAGCTGCTAATGGATTTCAAAAGAGCAGTAATAACGTATAGCAAAGCAGCAGGCTGCAGAGGCTGCCAACCCTTTGCTGTTCCAAGAGGACTGCTTGGATCCAAAACTCGGCTCTATCGGTCCACCTCCTGGCAGGAAACAGATGGTACGCTCAGAAGGGCTGACTGAAAAGAGTTTAATGAAGGAACTTTGTACCGAGGTGTGGGCAGGTTCAAAGGAACGGGGAAGCACCCCTGGCTACCAACGCTGGAAGCCATTACCACCCCAGGCCCCGAAGGAGCAGAAGGAGGGAGCAGTTTCAGAAGTAGTGAGAGCCCCTCGCTGTAGGAAAGGGCGCCCAGCAGAAGCTGCGGTCTTTCGTAGAGGGAGGCAGGCTGGAGAAGAAGAGGGGGGTAGGGCATAGATCCGGGGGGACAGCGGAGCCACACCGGAGATGGGTTGTCGTCTGGGACCAGGCTTAGAGGGTGGCGCGGCCTGCTGTCTCACCTCTCTGTCCATCCCATTTGCCGCATTTAGCCGCCCCACCAGCAGCGCTGGCCTGCCCTCCACCCCGTCCAAAGGCTTCACTGGGAAACAAGGCAGTTGCGTGGTCTCAGCCAGAGATGATTTCGGCCCCTAGGGGACAGGTAGTTGGCAATGTCTGGAGACATGTTTGATTGTCACAACATGGGTTCCCGGCATCCCTGTGGGCAGAAGCTCCCTAGCGGTTCAACATCCTGGGATGCCCAGGACCGGGGCCCAGTGACAAAGAACAATCCGGCCATGTCAGTACTACCCATGTAAGAAACCCTGCTTTGAACGAACTGCTCTGGGCTCCTGTCACAGGCCTGGCCTCCTCCTCTGTCCCTCCGTCAGTCTCCAGCTGGGCCCATCCTTGTGCCCTGTCATTCAGCCACTCTTTAGGGTGGCCCCAGCCCTCGCTCCAGACTGCCCACTTCCGGCTGACTCTCAGTGGTGTCTCTAGCCCGCTGCCTCCCTCCTCTGGCTGGCATCGGTGACGCCCTGGATCCTTGCCTCCCTCCCAGGCTGCAGGCACTCTTCACAGACAAGCACTGCTCTTGACTCCAAGCCCTTGTACCTGCACCCTGTCCTCCTTCCTCTTCTCTCTAAGCCTGTCTGTCCTCCAGACCCTGAGCCCATCGCCCCCTCCAGCCTCGGCTACTCTCCCAGTAATGTCTCTCTTTGCAGTTGATACTTCTTTCAGGTCCGCCCCTTCTAAACATCATGGAACAAAGCAGACTTTTGCTAGAACTAGCCGAGGTCAAGCTCAAAGCTATTTACACTCTTATTTATGCCCTTATTGCCCCTGGAGTGCTCTCCCCACAAAACGCATACACTTTGATTTCCCTGATGTTGCAGGTGTTGGGAGCGGCTGAGCCTGTGGCCTGCAGAGGCTTCCCTGGCTGAGACACCCAGGAAGTCTGCCAAAAGTAACCTCCCCTTGTGGTCCCCTGGGAGAGGGCTCCTTAGCAGCCAGAGCCTCAAAGGACACAGGAAGAAGGAGTGGCCAGCCAATCATGGGCTCTCCTGGCACGTGGGAGGCCCTAACTGAGGGACTGACCCTTCTCCTTGGCTCCCCCTGCCCGCCCCCCCCCCATCACCTTCCCTTAACCCTACAGAGGCTCAGACACAGCAGGAGAGGAATCCAGCTGTTTAGCCCTGAGATAAGGTCGGCTGAGGTCCAAACTGACCAGAACGCCCAGCCGCTGTTACTCCTTTCTCCCGGATATCCCTTAAACCCCAGAAAAGCAAGCAAGGCAGGTTATCCCCAGAAATCCCAGCTGCAGCACTCCACCTCACTGGCCCACTCCACCACCACCAGCAACCCAGCCACCACACTGGGGGAGGGCCCAGGCCCTCCTGGGGTGAGGGCAGGCTAGCAGAAGCAAGAGAGCTAGGGTTGGGCCAGGGAGGGGGTGCAGGGTGACTGTGTGGCCCACCCCTCACTGCAACCCCACCAGTTCGGTGATGGGAGGGGTCTGCACCATGAGCTCCTCGTAGCGATTGAGAAACAGCCTGAATCGAGCCAGGTAAGAGTCCTCGTTGTACGGCAGCTGCTTTTCATGGAGGAACCCGGACACCATGGGCTTCACCTGCCAGGAGACAGACAAGAGGAGGGGCTGCTGAGCCAGGACTGGGGGCAGCCCCCTTCTCCTGCAGGGCTCTTCCTCCTCCCAGCCCAAGCTCCTGTCACCGCAGTGTCCCACGAGACTCTAGAGGAGCCTAGGGACAGGGGGAATTCCTGCCTCTCCCCTCCCAGGAGGCAAGGGAAAGGGGGGGGCTTCTCCCCCACCTCCTCCCCACCAGTGTGCCCAACTGTATGACAGTCCTCCTTGGCAGAGGGTTTAAAAGCTGTAGTTCCCTTTGCCAAGCACGGACTGCGTGCCCAGCATTTCAGATCCATCTCATTTCACCCTGAAAGCCTGCCAACAAGCACTGCTCACTCTCATCACCCAGGCGAGGAAGCAGAGGCTCCTGGACATTCAGTTAACTTGCCTAGAGTCGCAGTGCGAGTAAGGAACCCACAAGTCTGTGAGGGAAACGCACACCGTTGCTGGTGCACAGGGCTGGCCTTCAGGGGACCTCTGACCAGGCCAGCTGGGGGACCCGGGCTACACTCCCCTCTGCCCTCGGATAGTCCCTTCATCACAAGCCTGCCAGCCCGACCGCCACCAACCTTCAGACACATGTTGTCAGAGAGCCAGGGGAAGAGGTGGTGCTCCACGTGGCAGCTGATGAGGGAGTGGCCGAACGCCCAGTCCAGCACCGGCAGCCGGGGCAGGTTCAGCACGCCCAGGCTCATCATGTGAATCCGCCGGGGCTTCCTGTCCCGGGAAAACATGGGCAGCCCGATGTGCTGCAACAGACACGTGGGTCACACCCTTGGCAGAGGCCAGGCAGCCCTGGGCCCCCCCGCCCTGCCCCAGACATCCTTGCCTACCACCTGAGGACCCAGTGGGTCCCTCTGCCTCCCTCACTCCCACTCTGGCGGAACCTGGGGAGGCGAGAGGAGGTGGGGACTCTCCTTCTGTGCTCCGAGCTCCATCTCACCCATCTCTGGGCCTCTCTCTGCATCTCTACAAGGAGGGGCTTGGCTTGGACACCCCTTTGGACCCCATGGTCCTGAAACGCCCGTGACTGCCCACCACTCACTCTCATGCCTCTATGCCTTTGTCTCATCCTGGAGAGACCTTCTCTGCTCTCTCTCTTTTCACTAATCAAAATCCTGCTCAGGGTTCAAGATCAAGTTTGTGCAAATTTTGCATTCAACAAGTATGGGTAAGCGCCTCCTCTAAGGGATTCGGAAGTGATCGGGAGTGCCTGCTACAGCAGGACAGGGAGGGGGCAGGCGTCCGGGCAGAGATGACGTCACCATGGGCAGCATGGCCAGTACTGGGACGGGGGCGTGAAGGATGCTCTCACCTTCACGCATCTCGTCTTCATGTCCAGGGAGCAGAGACGCGTCCCCATGGAAATGGCCCTGGGTCTGAGTGCTGAGCCCCCAGCCTCCCATGAAGACCTCCCATCTCTGGCTCCTCCAGCCTCGTGGCCTGCACCGGGGCCTCGGTGATGGCCCACAGCTCATGTCATTTGGGCCTATCACAGTAAGTGATTAGGACCCTATAGGGAGATGGGGTCCTAATCACTTGTGTCTCCACAGGACCTCATCAAGTGCCCTAGGCAGAGAAGTTTCTTGAATCTTCCATCCCCGATCCACACGTGAATGGCAAATGGCAGCCAGCGGTGAAGAGAAGCAAACTCTCTACCTGAAACCCAGACTCTGATAACCCACAGAGAGGTGGGGGCGGGAGGTGGGGGGCCGATGCCTCTCTCTCTTTCCCTAGAACCCCGAGTCTAGCCCACGGTCCAGGTCGGGGAGGCCTCACCTGGAAGATGTTGACATGAAGGTAAGGATGGGCCAGCAGCGATCTGGTGACGAGCATGCACAGCAGGGCCGAGCCGGGGCTCCTGAAGCCAGACACGTTCAGAAGCAGCCAGTAGTGAGCGTAGAGGCCCAGGGAAATCAGGCCCAGCGTGCACACAGCAGACCTGAGCTCCACCTTCCTCAGACGCTCTGCCAGAGGGAGCAGAGTATGGGGGTGGGGGGGAGGTGAGGTTTAGATCCCACAAAGCCGGCTCCCTGCTGGCCCGTGGGTGCTAGCTAGTGGGCTAAATAGGGCGATCTATTCATCCTCACAGCCCCAAAAAGTCCATTCACCCCTCTTATGAATAAGGAAGTTAAGCAAGTTGACGAAGGCCACTGTGCTAAGAAGCGGTCAGTGCCATCCAGGGCTGGCACCAGAGCTGGCTGCTCTCCAGCCCCTCCTGCCGCCAGATGGTATCGCTCCCATACTATTACAGTCCCTCACCTGCAACACAGCACAAGGCATTCGGGAAGTATTTTTACATCTATGACCTCACGATGCCTTCACACCCTGCCTTGAGGACCAGGTAAGAACCCAAGTTAGAGCGGTCACGCGACCTGCCTATGGCCCTCAGCCAGTAAGTAGCAGAGCCAGACCTGGCCCTGGGTGCAAGGCTCCTTCTGCCCTGCCTGGCTACCTCAGAAAGTGTCTGGTCTTAACTCGGGGCTCCCAGCCCTTGCCCCCACAAGCAGCCTCCAGGAAGGCAGGAAGGGAAGTAAGGAACCTGCTCTGGGCAGGGCGCAGCCCCGGCGTACTCACCGACTGCCACCAGCGGGGTTATGATGGGGATCAAGAGAGGAGCCAGGAACATGTACACGAAGCGGTTGAGGCAAGGCAGCCGCCACGTGCTCGAGTCCCCCAGGCCCAGCACGTTGGTGTAACCGTGGTGCATCTTGACGTGTCCGTACTTGGCATACTCTGCGCTGAAGGACGAGCAGACCTGGAGGAGGGGTCAGAGAGGGCACCGGGGTCCGTGGCATGCATGGTCAAGCAGAGTGGACCCCCGCGAGCCTCAAGAACACCCACCTGCCCTGGGATCCTGCGTTTCCAGAGCCTTCCTGCCCTACACCCACATCTCTCCCCGAGCTAATCGGACCATCAGCGTTCGGGTGTCCACGACAGCGGAGTGGCAGCATCCACTTGGTGTGGCGACGCTGAGTGTTTGGAGGTGGGAGGCCAGCCCCAATGGCCATTCTGCCCCCGACTGCTCAGGCAAGCCTGCAAGCCTCAGCGGGCCATCGGCAGGATCAGGCACGACGCAGGTACAGCTCCAACTGCAGTGACGTGATGCCTGATGCTCTTGGAAACATCGTGTTGTCACGGGGCTGCTGTGCATTCGAAGCCCCCCCGCAGCAAGGGAAGGGGTGAGGAACGGTCTGTCCGTGAGGGTGGCACCCAGGGCAAGGTGCCCCGGTGGGGGGCTAAGTGTGAACGTCTCCCCTTGCCCTTGTGGGATTCTTCCGAACTGCCCGGGAGCAGCCACCGGACAGCAGCTCCAGCTCCGGGACTCCAACAAGGGCCATCATTCTGAAGGCAAAAGAGGTACAAAGGTGTTTCTTATGCAGATATATGCAAATTAAAATGCAGATGTCAGCCTCCTCCCATATTTTATCCAGGCTGTAAGATTTGGCTGATTTTATGGAAGAGGCTGCCCGCCTGTTTCCCAGTCCCGATCCCAGTGAGCCTCGCACCCCGTGTCCTGCGCTTTGCAGGGGCGAACCGTTCCATCTTCCAAGGCTAGCAGGTCAGCTGCCTTATGATCCACAGTTGACAGAAGCAGAAACAGACACAGAGAGAGGCCATATGACCACCCCCGGTCCCTCAGGAAGGTGGCAGAGGGAGGAGTGGAACCCAGAATCCACCCAAGGTAAGGCACAAGACCCCCGAGAAGAGCCACTGATTACAAGTGAGCAGAAACCCGGGCTTCTGGGTCCAGGTAGCAGAGGCAAAGCCAGAAGAAGACAAATCAGGGACGACATCGTCTCCATGCCCCGTCTGCAGGGACTTTCTCCCTTGGACTGAAATGCTGCCAAAATGTAGCTGGACACTTCCTCTGAAGGACACCGAGGGCCACAGCTAGTGACGTGACTGCCACGGTTTTACAAGAGACCCGTCCGCCAAACCAGCTCTGCCTGGGCCCCTTGGGAGGCGGAGGCTGAGAAGGTAAGTGTCGATGCTGTGCAGTCCCCCCGGGAGCAGGGGGAAGCGCTCTGCTCTCCCACGAGGTATCCGGCCCAGGCCTGCTGGTCTCCAGGGCACACGCCCATGGGGGCCACATGGGGGTCCAAGTTACCACCAGAGGCTTCAGCGGTGGGCTCGGGGGCTGCAGCTGGGATCTGGCAGGACGTCCTCCGAGGCCAGCCTGCCTCCGTCCAAGGACGGCAGTGCGTGTCTTGAACCCCAAGGTTCTACCCCGTGTAATCAGAAGAAACAACTGTTTTTATTTATTCTTTTAAAGAAATTATGTATTTTAAAAAATATTTTATTTACTTATTTGAGAGCGTGAACACAAGTTGGGGGGAGAGGCAAAGGGAAAAGCAGAGTCCACACGGAGCAGGGGGACTGACACAGGGCTTGATCCCAGGTTCCAGGACCTGGAGATCGTGACCTGAGCCAACGGCAGATACTTGACAAACTGAGCCACGCAGGTGCCCCACGCAGTCGCCCCAAGAAGCAACTGTTTTGAATTGCTCCTTCCGTGCTTTTCTGCTTTAAGGGCCCATGGCACCTGCAGGCTGGGGGGGGACAAAGTTGCCTTTCCTTCTGGCACAACAGGCTCCCCCTCTGCGCGCAGAAAGCAGAAGCCCACGGCATTCAGAGGAGCGTTGCCACCAACGACCCCGCGCCTGAACAGGACTGAGTGTGGTAAGAACTTGGCCCCCATGAGACACCCGGGTGGCTCAGTGGGTTAAGCGCCTGCCTTCGGCTAGGGGACTTGATTGGAATCAGGTCCCACATCAGGCTCCCTGCTCAGTGGGGAGCCTGCTTCTCCCTCTCCCTCTGCCTGCCGCTCTGCCTCCTTGTGCCCCCCCCCACTCTCTCTCTCTGGCAAATAAATAAATAAAATCTTAAAAAAAAAAAAAAGAACTTGGCCCCCAGGGATCTGGTGGGGTCCTCTGTCAGCCACTCAGCTACATGGCCAGACCCCAGGACGGAGGTGGGGGGCTGGGGGGGTGAGTTAGCTGCGTGTGACTCAGCACACACTTCCAGAGTCTGTGTGTGGTGGGCCTGTTTATGTGAATAAGAACAGATTTGGGGCTATTTCCATAACACTGGAATTCTTACTCCCATCTGGATGTTCCTTCCCTAACAGAAAGGAGGGGGTGGATTTGGGCTGGGAGAGAGGACGGCAGGCAGACCGCAGCGTGGCCCCTGTGCACGGACACCGAAGGGCAGGGGAGAGGCCCAGTGCTGCCCGGGGAGCTGCGAAACAGACTGGCCTGCTCTCCAGGATTAGGCAGAGGTCTTGCCAGAGAGGATTCCATACAGACACCCAGGGAGGGTTCCAGAAGCCCCAAGGCCGGTGCTGCTTCTTTCTTTCTTCCTTCCTTTTTTTTTTCTTTTTTTTTTAAAGTGATCTCTCGGGGCACCTGGGTGGCTCAGTGGGTTAAGCCTCTGCCTTTGGCTCCGGTCATGGTCTCGGAGTCCTGGGATCAAGCCCCGCATCGGGCTCTCTGCTCAGCGGGGAGCCTGCTTCCTCCTCTCTCTCTCTGCCGGCCTCTCTGCCTACTTGTGATCTCTCTCTCTCTCTGTCAAATAAATAAATAAAATCTTAAAAATAAATAAATAAAGTAATCTCTCTACCCAACCTGAGATCAAGAGGCACACACTCCACCGACGGGACCAGCCAGGGGCCTCAAGGCTGATGCTGCTGCTTGAGGTGGCCGTACTCTGTGCCCCTCAGGAAGATTTACGGGCCCCAATCTCTTAGCAGCACTCAGGTGAGGCAAGTGGCCAGAGTGTGCGTGGGGCAAGGGCCATTGTAAGTCCTCTTGCTAAACATCAGGGACCCCAAGACTCTCATCAGCCACTTCTTCACTTACCTGTCTGTGCACTGAAGCCTCTTCAGACCTCTGCCAGTGCCCAAAGATAATGAATAGCTAAGGTAGCAGTTCGAGAAAATCTATTTTCTGGATAGGTAATATGTTTACATAATTCGGAATTCAAAAAGCCCACAGTGACAGGTCTCCCTCCTACCTCACCCCCTGGTCCCATTTTCCTCCAGGAACCTAAGGGAGGCCCTTGATCTCTTACGTGTCCTTGAATATTTTAATTATTTTTTTTAAACAGACAATACTCTGCAGGATTAAAATGCACCCTGATAAAATTATGGTGCAGTCAAAGTTGGGTTATAAATAGGTCATTCTACTGGTTTGGAAGGGAGGGGCGGGACAAGACAGGGGATGGGCTGCCGGCTGCTGGAAAAGGAACAGGACAGGCGCGTGTGAGGGACAGGATCTGGGAAGGGGGAGGGGCGAGAGGAGCAGGAGGGATCAAGGACTATGACCAGGTTTTGGGGGGGGGGGGGGGCAGGCAGCTAGGGTGTGGTGGCTGGTGGCATCACTCCAGAGAGGGACACAGGGACGAGGGGGCAACAAGCACGGACCAGATGGGAAAGAAAGGCGCCTGGCTGTCCCTGGGCCAGCTGCTCTCAGGGAGGACAGGCCCTGGGCCCCCTTTGGCCCCTCTCTCACTGCTTCCCAGGAGCTGAGGCGCCCTTTCATGTTGGCTTCAGCGGAGGGGGGCCTCTGGGGCTCCCCGGGGCTCGGCAACAGTGTGTCAGATCATGTATAGGACACTCAGATAAATTCAAATTTCAGAGAAACAACCAGTTCTTTTCTTGTAGAGGCACATCCCAAATGCACCCCTGCCCTCTACGCATGAGGTACCCGGCACACACACACACACACACACACACGCACACACACCAGTCACAACAGCAAAGATGTCTGGAGATACGGCCTCGTGTCCCTGTCACGCTCTCTCTGTGCTCACAGGCTCACACCACCTGCTCCCTGTCACATCCCACCGGCCCCGTCCCGGGCTGCACCACGAACCACGAGCTGAGCAGCCTTGGCCAAGCGGCTGATCCTCCCAGACCGTGTTTCCGCATCTACGAAGTGGAGGTAATAACAGCTTCCACCTTACAGGGAGGCGTGCCCACTAAATGCAGTAATTCGTGTGAGGTTCCCAGGAGGCGCCCAGTAGGTGTCCGCTGATAGAATCGCGATTTTTATTATTTCCGTGTCATTCATGTGTATCTGTTTCCACACCTGACTCAGAGTCCCTGGGGAATGAGAAGCAGGTCTGGGTCACCGTTGTGTCCCCAGCACCCAGTGGAGGGCTTGGCAAGGAGGAGAAGCTCAGTGATGTGGGGAGCACTGCTTGGCCATTGGCACTCAGTCTGGACAGACGCTGTCCCACCCCCCCAAAGCCCCTCCTCAAACCGGCGTCCTCGAAGCTGGGCAGCCGCTGCTGGGCCCTTCCCTCAAGGCTTCGGTCCTCACCCTCGGGCGGCCATCCACACTCGCCTGGGCCTGCTCCGGGGTCCTCTGCCTCTGAGGGGCCACATGGGAGCCCACCGCGGTCCCCACCACCGGGAGCCGGGCTTTACAGACCCACAAGAGTCGGGATTGCCATGAGACTCCCTTCCTAGAGTCCTCAGGCTCCTCCTTGAAGGAGCCACACCAAAGCTGGGGGCAGTGAGGTGGGGGGCTGCTTGAAACTCCATTTGGCAGATCTACACATGATAAAATGGCGGAGACAGACAGACAGACACACACACACACACAGTACCAATGTCAATTTCCTGGTTTGGCTATTGAAAGACACTTACACTAGTGTCACTTATATAAATATAAATGTTATATAAAAAGGGGTGCCTGGGTGGCTCAGTGGGTTAAGCATCCAACTCTTGATTTTGGCTCAGGTCACAATGTGACGGTCATGGGATCGAGTCCCCAGTCGGGCTCCATGCTCAGCACAGAATCTGCTTGTCCCTCTCCCTCTGCTCCTTCCCCCACTTGCTTGACCTCTCTCTAAAATAAACAAACAAACAAACAAAGAAATACATAAAATCTTAAAAAAAAAAAAAAAAGTGGGGGGGCACCTAGGTGGCTCAGTCATTAAGCAGCCGGCTCAGGTTATGATTCCAGAGTCCTGGGATCGAGCCCCACATCGGCCTCCCTGTTCAACAGCAGGAAGCCTGCTTCTCCCTCTTCTTCTGCTTGTGCTCTCTCTCTCACTGCCTCTCTCTGCCAACTAAATAAAGAAAATCCTTAAATAAATAGATAGATAAATTTTTTTAAAAAAAGATTATAAATGTAACTAATGGGGGAAGCTGGATGAAGGGTGCACTGGACCTCTCTGTCCTATTCTTGCAAAGTCCTATGAATCTATGATTATTTAGAAACTAAAGTTTGTGGGTTTTTTTTTTCATAAAAGTATATTTTGTACTACAGATCTAGTTTTGCCCTCCAAATAAATTTTTTAATTAAAAAAAATTTAAAAATTCATAGTCGGGCACACTCAGACTAACAACCCTCAGGGTTCAGGTGCAGACAGAGGAAAGGTTAGGGAGCCCAGAAGAAAATAGCCACACTGAACTTGAGAACATTCAAGAATCAGGACCAGACTGGGGTTTCTGAGCTCTGTTTCCACCACTACACGGGACCCCAATGAAGTCGCCTGTGTGATACCCCCTCCCCCAGGGCAGAGCCGGGCTCCCTGTGCTTCCCGTGGACCAGCTGTGACTCCAGCCCTGCAGCACAAAGGAGACTTTAGAAGGAGGGTTTGAAGTTGAGACACACGTAAAGAATTTAGTAACTGGCTTGACCTGTTCCTCCCCACTCAGAAAGCATCTTGATTGCGAGTGAAATACAGGGAAGTTCTTAAAACCCTCTGATTTGGGGGCATCAATCCTTCCCAAGCTGCAGGATTTAAACCAAGGATGGCCCTGCCCCCCTCCACCCTGCCCCAGCCTTCCTGGGGAACGTAGGACAAAGAGGGGCAGGTGCTCCCGTGGGGAAGGCCATGACCATCAATGGACGGGGGAGAGGTTCAGAGGCTCACTAGCAAGAGAAATAGAACTTTCTCCTGCAGACCAGAAGTGGGTCTTCGGAGGGAAGTTCACTCCAGTGTGGGGAGCTGTGTATGATTGAGGTTACCTCAACGAAACAGCAACTAGAATGTCATCGCCCTGTCCATCCTGCCTGCCCCTCCCCCCAGATCCAAGCAGTCAGAAAGGGCCTGGCCCTTGTCCCACCCCTGGCTCAAGCCAGCAGACCCTGCGAGAAACCTGCCCAACGCTGGGTGCCCAGGGACACCAGTGACACTCGCTGACTCCTGGGGCTCCAGACTAGAGAACTAGATCATTCTGTAGTGATGATGGCTCCTGAGGGTCAAGGTTTGGGCAGAACGCCGGCAGCCGATGAGAGAAGGACCAAAGAGTGAAGATAACAGGACGTGGCAGAAGTGGGGAGTCAGGGGTCCAGGAGGGTCCCGGGGAGCGAGAACTTGACCTTTGTGCCATGCAAAGAACAGGGGGTGGGCCAGAGCCTCAGCAAACAGTGCCCTCAGCACACACACACACACACACACTCACACAGGCCCACACACTCACACACTCACACACTTGGTCTGTCCAGCTTTGCATAATGCATGAACTTTCTGTTCAACACGAACAGCACTAATGCACAGGAACAACAAAACTGCTAACCCTCTCCTTGCAGCGGACTTCACGTTCCCTCCAGAAAGAAAAAAAATAACAACCCCAACATTTGGTGAGAATCCAAGAGTCAGGCCCAGGCCCTAAATCCAGGTCTCCGTGGTCCCATTTAAGCCTCGCACGGGCTCCACCAGCCAGTGATATCATGATTCCTGTTTATCAGATGAGGAAGCCAACCATGAATTAAGTAACTTGTCCCCGGTCAGGTGGCCGGTAGGGCTGCGCATGTGGCTTCCCCTGCAGCCATGCCCCAAAGCCAGCCCCTGCCTAACTGCCAAGCCCAGCACCCTCCCTGAGAACCCCATTTGCCCCACTAATGCCAACAGTAGGGGGAGTCCCGCACCCCACACTGGAAAGCAGACCCTCCCCAGGGGCGTAGCCCAAACCACACAGTGTGGGGCAGAAAAACACATCCTGCTTCAGTCTCCACAGGAGGTAAGAACCAAGCCTCCTCCACCGCAAAAGACTCCTAGGCCTCTAGATGGTGACCCTTCATTAGCCGGCTTTCCCTTGTCCCTACATCACCTGCAGAGTCATCATCAACCAATACTGATGAAATGCCCACTGAGAGCTCAGTCCCATGCCAAGAGCTGAACCTACAAAGAGGTAAAGATGAGGCCACCGCCCTGGGGCTCGTGGGGACAAGAGAGCCTGCAGCCACCAAGCTGCCTGGGTCAGACACTGATTACACACCAGCTCTTCCGCTGGGGAGCCTGGGGAGTAGAGGGGTGGGGGGGTGGGGGTGGGGCGCTCTCCTCCAGCAAGCCCGGGCCTCCAGGGCATTCAGCTGTGCTGGGAACTTTGAGGACACAGTCATCTCTCTGTACCGCCAAATCCCCTGTCGTAACAGTCCAAAATCCACAACACCTACTCACCATGGCTGCCGCCAGGGCTCCTGGCGCACAGGACAGCTTTGAAAGTGCCACAGAGAGCTCATTCTACCCATTGTGTCCCCAGCTTCTCCCCTGCCCCTGACTACAAGCTACGGGACATCTGACCCCAGCTCCAGACCTCAGAGACTAGGGAGCATCAGCGCCCAGGGGTTCCCTGTGAAGGGAAGCCACTTGAAATGGACCCTGAAGACCGGGAACCTGTTGGGCTTCTCTTGTTGTTAGCACGTTAGAAATGTGTGCCGGTGGGAGAGGAGGGGAGGGGAGAAAGGGGGAATGGAGAACCCTAGGTAGGAAATGTGTAACTTTATGAAATGTCATCTGTGGGTCTGCATGTGCACGTAGAGGCCTTAATAAAGTAATATAAAGTCTGGGAAGCCTGGCTGTCTCAGTCTATTAAGCGTTTGCTTTCAGCTCAGGTCATGATCTCACCCAGGGTCTTGGGATCGAGCCCCGCATAGGGTTCCCTGCTCTGCAGGGAGTCTGCTTCTCCCTCTGCCTCTGCTGCTCCCCCTGCTTGTGCTCGCTCTTTCTCTGTCTCTCTGACAAACAAATAAATCAAATCTTTTTAAAAATTGTGTCAAGTTACTATTTGAGTTCATTGGTCACAGTAAGCCACAGCAGAAAAGGACTGCTTCTGGTGCCTGCTCTCATGTTTGCTCCTAAGGGACCTGGGCGGCCAGGTGAGGATGTACCTGGAAGGGTGCACCGAGGGGGCAAGTTGCACAGAGGAACCAGAAAGTCCTGACTCCAGTCCAGAGAAAGGACAACCTGGCCAGAAGCCTCTGGCTATGTCCGTAGGGGAAAAAGGTGAAGCAGAAAGAGGAGGGAACAGTTCAGGGGAAGCAAAGGTCAGGAGAGCAGGGGGCTCCTCAGGCTGGCTCTGCCTTGCCAGGCGTCAGAGGGGTGCACGGTCCAGAGCTGGGACACCGTCAGGCCCCTGTTCCCCCTCCCTCTCTGTCAGGGGTTCACAATTTACTCCCTGACTGTGAAACCAGGAAACCTCAAAAGTTGTAGCCGGGTCCACTGGGTCCTGTGCCACAGAGAGGCAAGGAGATGCCCCCTGGAGAAACAGGGGTGCCCAGGCCAGGTCCCCTGCCGTAGGGGTACGTGCACCCGTTCCTCATGCAGCTCTCCGCCCCTTCAGCGTGGACGCCCTCTGCCCTCTCGAGGGCCAGCCCAGTTAGGCTCACCTCCACAAAGAACAGCTCCCAGATCTTGCTCCAGCCTTTGGACTCTGTGAGCGCCCCGTGAGTGGCCAAGTGGCTGCCCTTGACAGTGAGTGTGTAGTGGCTCATCCCCAGGATGGTAATGCCCAGCCCCAGGGCCACGACGTTCTCAGAGCGCAGGCATAAGAACCCTGTATGGAGGAAGGAGAATGGGGATGGGGGGATGGGGGTAGGCAGGGTTTTCCTCCAGGTCTTGGAGATCTGGGACCAAATACCCTGGCCCCCACCCCTACAGCCCAGGCCAAAGTGGGCCAGGAGCTTGGGGGCTGCCACAGGCAGAGTGAGCCAGGTCCCAACCAGGAAAGGTCCAGGGGAAACCCCATCCCTGGTGTCCCCATGGAACATCCTCCCCTCCCCCAGTCCCTCTCATCCCTCTCAACTCCTCCTCCCCCCAACCCAACCGCCCTTCAGGCCCTTGGGCCTTCTTCCTCCTCCAGTGCCCCCTTCCTCTGGGGACTAGGGCAGGACACTGCCACCAGACTTTCGCATTTGGGGTGAACCCCTCCTTCCTGGGGTCCCCGACACGCACCATCTCCTCCATGCCCCAATCCCCAGCCTCTCCACCACCCTACCCCGCACCCCGCTCCGCGGCCGCAGCCCGGCCCGCTGTCACCCTGTCCCGTGTTCCTCACCGGCCGGCAAGGCGAGAAGGCTGAGCGCGAGGATGGCGCAGTCCACGCCGTGGCGCTCCCACCACGAGCTCGCCCTCTCCACGTCCCGGACCAGCGCCTCCAGCTCACCCAGCAGCGCCTCGCCCCCGCCGTTCCCCAGGGGGGCGTCCCGAGCCGCCTCCATGGGCTCCGCGCGCCCGGCGGCCACCAGAGCGACCCAGGAGGACTCGGGGACCTTCTGCGGCGCCCCGCGAGGCGCACGACGCGAGCAGGGGCGGGCCGGGGCGGAGTCACGCGCCAGCCGGGGACACCCGCCCTCGGTGTCACGGTGCGTGCTGGGCACCCGAGCGCCTCCTGCGGCGCGCGGCGGCCACCCGGCCCGACCCGGGATCGCCTTCCCCGCTGGAGAGACCAGAAACGCCGCAGGAGGAGCGGGCGGATGCGCGCTGGCGAGGAGCGAGAACCAGCGGGGGCTGGAGGGAACGCGGCGACCCACGCGGAGGAGGGTGGCGCGGAGACCCCCATGGAGAGCCCCCCCAGGACCTTCTCTGACCGCCTGACTTCAGGCACCTTCCTCGAGTTCTCCCGTCCCCGTACCTGCACCCTCTCGAGTCCGCTGTAGCATTTTTATCCCCCAGCCGTGTATTTTCTTAGTAGCGCTTAGCGGATTCCCACATGTGACCCGGGCCTGTCTCCACCAGCCGGCTGGTGTCTACCGACCCTTCCCTTTGCCGCTCTCGCTCGGGCTGCGTCTTTAGTAACTAGAGCGGTTCTTGGCACAGAAACGTTCTTGAATTTGTGGGGCAGAAAGTTCAAGGACTCACTCTTTCCAGACAGATGGGGTGTGGGGTCCCTCTGGTCCTTGACTTTAGCAAAGGTGACCCAGGGAGAACTGGCTCTCCAGTCTAGCGGAGTGAGAAACTCTAAAAGGAATAACCACAGAGGAAGGCATAACTCTAGAGAAAAGACACTCAGAGGTCATCATTCCAGGTGGATCCCTCTGCAATTCCACTAGCTCAGGGGCACTCAGGATCATGCAAGCAGCACCCAGTCTGTGCTCTGCAGACTCCCTTCCCAGCATCTGGGGCTCTGTTTGCCTTTTTTTGGGGGGGTTTACGTTCCCCCTGGTTTCATACTGGGTCCCTTTCAAAATGAGGTCTGGCATGGCAAGGGCAGCAGAATTTCAGAGAAGATCTTTGGGAAGGAGAAAGAAAAGCAGGAGGAGGAGAGAGGTGGAGGAGAGCCCTGGGAGGAGGGTAGGGACCCTAATGACCGACTCCTGCGGCCTACAGTGACATCTCCCTTCACGAGTTCCTATGAGCTTCTCCCTCCGATTCTGCGTAAAAGGGTAAGATTTCTTGACCAGGTCAGTGTTCCAAGGGCCTAGCATCTAATAGACCAATTCTCACCACACGTAGATGCGCACACACAGACACACACATGTGTGTGTTTCACCATTGGCCTCCACATCCTTATTAAGTTTTATGTTTGCCCACAACTCTGCAAGGATGACATCATCCCCGTCTAATCCATAGAGGCCCTGAGAGATGAACTGATCTGCCCAGTATCCACCCCAAAGTCACTAAATGACAGAACTAGAACTCAAATCCAGGGTGTCTCCTCCAAATTCAATTATCTTTTGTTTATATCAGATTATTTTTTAGGATTTATTTATTTATTTATTTAAGATAGAGGGAGAGTGAGAGAGCGAGAGAGAGAGAGCATGCATGAGCAGGGGAGACGGGGAGGAGGGGAAGGTCAGAGGAAGAGGGAGAAGCAGGCTCTCCACTGAGCAGGAAGCCCGACACGGGGCTCTATCCCAGGACCCTGGGATCATGACATGAGCTGAGGTCAGACGCTTAACTGACTGAGCCACCCAGGAGTCCCTTTATATCAGATTCTTAAGACAGAGAAGGAAGAGGTGTCTTTCCCCCACCTTACCCTACCTCCAAGTCCCTCCCTCCCAGATATTAGAATTTTCAGGAATAAGACATGTACAGTTTTTAAAAGCTTATTTGACATTAATATGCAGTATGATAATACTATTTTGTAAAGATGGAATTCCAGGGCTTTTATCATATAAACTAGGAAACTTCCTACCAAGGTAGGAAGAAAGTACCAAGAAGCCCCCCGCTTCCTTCTGGCCATCTAAGTGATGCTGAGTGTCAAACAGGGACAGAGGCAAATGTGTGTTAGAAGAGCTCCAGGAGCCAGGAATCCCCATAGGTGGGGCTGGCTGGTGGCCTCCCAGGAGAGATCAGACTTCATTTGGAACAGACTTGCACCTGCCTGAGAAGGAAGAGCACAAAGCATTCTGAGTCTCCAAGACATAGAGAGGGTTGGGAGAGCGTTAGGGAAGGCGGGAGAGAAAGGCTGGGACTAGGTGCTGGAGGCACGGAGAATGGCAGACAGAGATGGGGGCTTGTTCCTTCAGGCTTGGGGAGCCATAGCAGCCTTTAGATCAAGGGAGTGACTTGTGTAGTGTGTTTGGGAAGGGTCACTGGGCACAGTGGAGTAGCCCACTGAAGTGCAAGAGACTAATTTGGAGACCGTTTCTGTACCCTGAAATAAGAGGGTACTGAGGACGTAGATGGCAGGGGAGGGGCACTGTAGGAAGGGAAAGAGGGAAATCAAAATCAAAATCAGGAAGACTGAGGGGACCTGGGTGGTTCAGTCGGTGAAGCGTCTATCTTCGGCTCAGGTCATGATCTCAGGGTGCTGGGATGGAGACCCACATCCGGCTCTCTGCTCAGCGGGGAGCCTGCTTCTCCCTCTCCCTCTGCCACTCCCCCTGCATGTGCCCTCTCACACTCTCTCTCCATCAAATAAATAAAATCTTTTTTTAAAAAACCCCACAAAATCAGGAGGACTGAGATAGTTCGCCAAGGGAAATGTACAAATGGCTAATGAGCACAAGAAGAGATGTTCGACATCATTAGTCTTTAGGGAAATGCAGATTAAAACTCCCAATGAGATAACCCTTCAGACTTACTGTATGGCCATTACATGTGGGCAAGGAGATGCAGAGCAACTGACCTCTCATTCGTGGTTGATGAGAAGTCAAGGTGGTACAACGCTTTGGATAATAATTTGGCAGTTTCCTGTAAGGTTGAATACCACATTTACACTATGGCCCAACAATGCAGCTCCCAGCTACTAAACCAATAGAAATAAAAACAGGTGTCCACATAAAAACGTGTATCTCCGTGATCCTAGCCGCCTTTGTTCATTCTAGCCGAACTGGAAACAGCCGGAACCTCCATCCACAGGAAGGTTAACAAATGGATACATTGAAACTACACACCGGATACAAAGGAGCACCTGAAACAGGCAAACCGAGGAGATGAAGGTGTGGATGGACTGACGCGAATCCCACAGACCGAATGCCGAGGGAGGGAAGCCAGACAACACAGTACTGACTGTGTGATCCCCTTTCTAGGAATTTCAAGAACAGCAGGACTAATACATGGCGATAGAAGTCAAATCAGCAGTTGCCCAGGGAGGGGTGGGTGGGGAACGGTAATTGCAAAGGGACGTGAGGAAACTTTTGGGGAGGATGGAAATGTTCTGTATCTTGATCATGGTCGTGTTCACGTGGGTGCGTATGTTGCTCTAAAGTCATCCACCTGGACCGTCAAAATGAGTGTGTCTTATTAGACTTCACTATACCTTAGTAGAGTTGACAAAAGCAAAAACGGCTCAGGTCATGATCTCAGGGTCCTGGGATTGAGCCCTGCATCTGGCTCTCTGCTCAGCAGGGAGCCTGCTTCCCCCTCTCTCTCTGCCTGCCTCCCTGCCTACTTGTGATCTCTGTCTATCAAATAAATAAATAAAATCTTTTTTAAAAAATGACACCTTAAAAAAAAAAGCAAAAACAAAACAGGAAGGCAGATTCTCTTTTTAAATGGAAAGAGCACTATTAGAGCTCTGAACACAGGCATGTCCTAAGTATACCCTCAACAGAAATGCAAAGAAACGTGCAGGAACATTCAGAGCCACAGGACTCCAAATAGGCAAGCCCCTGGGACAAGTCAAATATCCCCCACCGGCACAGTGGTAAATAAAATGTGGACTGTATACAAGCCGAGGTGTATCACACAGTCCAGACCGAATGCTGAACTGAGCCAGACACAGTAGAACACAGATTCCACTGGATTCCATTCATATAAAATTCACAACCAAGCTTAGGATGGCTCTTGACCCCACAAGGGGTCCTATAAGGGTTTCTGGGTGCTGGCAAATGTTTTGTTTCTTGACTTGGGTGGTAACTAACACCCAGATCATGATGTAAAGATTGCACATGATTTGTAAAGATTCATGATGCTATACTGCTGTTTTCTATATATAGATTTCATTTTAATTTAAACATTTGCTTTGGTGGGGCGCCTGGGTGGTTCAGTGGGTTAAGCCGCTGCCTTTGGCTCAGGTCATGGTCTCAGGGTCCTGGGATCAAGCCCTGCATCGGGCTCTCTGCTCAGCGGGGAGCATGCTTCCCCCACCCCCCGCCCTCCTCTCTGGGTGCCACTCTGCCTTCTTGCGATCTCTATCAAATAAATAAAATAAAATCTTTAAAAAAAATTAAAATCTTAAAATATAAAATAAAATAACCCTTTAAAAAAAGGTTGCTTTGGGGGACCTGGGTGGCTCAGTCAGTTAAGCAGCTGCCTTCGGCTCAGGTCATGATCCCAGGGTCCTGGGATTAAGTCCTGCATTGGGCTCCTGGTCCAGCAGGAGCCTGCTTCTCTCTCCTTGCCTCTGCCTGCCTCTCTGCCTGCTTGTGCTTTCTCTCTCTCTCTCTGACAAATAAAAAAAATCTTAAAAAAAAAAATAAAAACTTAAAAAAAAAAAAGTTTGCTTTATTTATTTATTTATTTATTTAATTGGTAAGAGTTTTGCTTGCTTGCTTGCTTGTTGGTTTGTTTAAGAAGTAAAAATAGGAAGATAGATGTCACCCAGAAATCCAGCAGGAGTGAAGAAAGAAATCCAGCTCATGGGAGTGAGAATGAATTATGAGAAAAAGCTCTGGGTGATGGGCCAGCCAGGTCCGCAGCTTTGAGGCTCCCTGAAAGGCTTCTCACGACAGGCCCCTGGTGCCCCGGTGAGCAGGCCCGAGCAGGCTCCTTCGCCTCAGCCCACACTGGACTGCTCTCCTGCTGCCAAGGTAGAGACAGCCAGGGCTGGGGC